ATGGAACATGATCTTTACTTAATATCTTAATGATTTTTGGCATAAAAGAAAAATCTATAATTTTGACCCATACAATGTATTGTTGGCTATTGCTACATATATACCCCAGCGACTTAACACTGCTTTTGTGCTCCAGAGTCACATATACATATACATTATATATATATATATATATAAACAATCAGTATATAAAATCTGTAAAAATAATCTGAAAATAAACTAGTAGACTGGTGCTCACTTGAAGGCGTTGTAAATGGGTCTGAACCAGCACACGTACGAGCAGGGGGTGAAGAGAATAACCCAGATGACTGACATGCCGAAGTTAGTCACTCCTCCTCCTCCAAACATCCACGCCATACAGCCCAAGAAATTCACCAGCAGCGTCACTCCGTACACTGGAAACACAACAGATCATTAAACCGTTACAAACCCACCAGGGCTGCGTTTCCCAAAAGCATCGTTAGCCAACTGTGGTCGCAAGTTCAAACCAAGTAAATGCTTCAGTAACCTGAGGACCTGCAATCCAGCAGCTGAACCTATGAATGCAGGCTGACATACAGTTTAGCCAATAAATACGGCTGACAGACGAAAGGTCACACACACAACTGGGAGATGCAGTCTACTCAATGAAATATATATATATATATATATATATATACACACACACGCATGCCATTTCACTCAAAAGCAACCCGTAGAGGATACCTTTGGCGGGATCAGCTACAGGTAGGATCTACAGCAAGAGACGACAATCATTAATGTATAAACAGTCTGATACGCTGTCATTCGCAGCAGTTTGTCTGTATTAGACCAGAGTTTCTCAGCTTTATTGAATATGGATCCCATCATTTTTGAAATCCCTCAGAACAAAAAAAAAAACACTTTTTTGATTTCATTAGTGCAGTGAACAAATGAGTGTGAATCACTACTAAAGTTAGCCGGCTTACCCAGTTTTCAGTCTTATCAGTTATGTGCAAGATATGCTGTATGTCAAAAAATACGTAAAAATATACAAATAATTAATAATTACAATAATTTTGTAATTACATGTTTGTCATGATGAAGTTGCAATTTAGTACATTAAACATTTACTTTTGTAAGTGTATTTAGAGAAACAGTCATGAAAGTTTCTTTAAGTCACTTAAGTGGCCTTTTATTTCATTTCATTATTATATTATCTGCAAGCAGTTAAAAAAAAAAAGTATATATATATATACTTTAATATTTTAAATACACTACAAGCGCACATCCAATACAATTAAGCACACTTAATTTCAATAATAAGCAATATAATATTATTTAGTAATATTTGCACATTTTTAAAAATATGTAAGATATTATTACCAGTTCTTACTGGTTTTTGATTGGCTTTTCAGGCAAAAATACTTGAAAAATTAAATATATGTAAAAATATACAAAACTTAATGACATTTACTGATCATATATACATTTTTTTTTTTTTACAATGATTTTTAAAAATTATTCCATGACTGCATGCGATCACAGTTTACACCACTAGGTGTCTGAGACAGAAAATGAGTAGAGATTTTCCCAACAGAATCCCTGTGCATTAGACCTCAGTGTTATTTACAGGTTAGTTTGGTGTGTTTTCCAGACTCACAGATCCACAGATGGTAGAGTCTCTTGCACATGGTGCGGTGCTGGTCAGGAATCTCCTCAAAGTCCTGGTGGAAGCACGGCTTCAGAGGAATAAAGCCAGGCAGAGGAGGAAAGTTGTTTTCTACAGGACAAATAAACAGAGCCATGCATCAATGTAAAGCACTGTTTGTTATTGCTGTGCTAGTAATGTCATGAATTAAATATATGGATTGATTCAGGGCCCTTACCAGCCATTGGGAAATTAACGACGGCTACTTGTTCTTAAGAGCTGTGAATCTATAAGTGAAGAACGTACATATGATGAGCACAATAAACATTCAGAACCTTTCTAGAACACTGAACAACAGCAGGGGTATGTTGTCACAGAGTTTGGAATAAATCAGTTTTTTTAAATGTTTTTGAAAGAAGTCTCTTCTGCTCACCAGGGCTGCATTTATTTGACCAGAAATACAGTAAAAACAGTAAAATTGTGAAATATTATTACAATTTAAAATAGCTGTTTTCTATGTGAATATCTGTTAAAATGTAATTTATTTCTGTGATCAAAGCTGTATTTTGTGAGTGAGTGAGTGAGTGAGTGAGTG